TATAAAACCAAAGTTTGGAAGTAGCTACAGATTTTTACGCAGAGGAAAAATCTGCACTATTTTCTTACCTGGGTCTATGTAGTAGACAGTGTTTCCTCTCACCTTTCCTACCAGCATGGGAGCCTCTTCTTCCCCTGCTGGCTGATAGAACGGCTCCGGCTCTGAAGGGTCCCATTCTGTTTTTTCAAACATTCACAACATTAATAATTCAAGATGTATGAAATGAAGTGAAGAAATTAAGGTTTTATAGAAGTATTTACACATTAAGACGTACAGAAAAACTAGCTTAAAAATCTAGTTTCAAAAGGGTGGAACTTAATTTTTATTATTTTCAAAAATGGATTTAAATATATTTTGTAAGGTAATGTGGGTTTTATTTTATTTTATTTTTTGTTTTGTTTTGTGCAAATATCATGAATTGTTCATTCATAAATATCATCAATTTTGGGCAAATTGCATCACATAACACTTTAAAACCCGAACTTTTTTTGCCCTAAAAAGTCACATAAGATGGAGTATAAAGCATAAAATGTAGTTTTAAAAAGGTGAAACTTAATTATTATTTTATAATAAAATGTTTTTAAATGTATTTTGCATAGTAACTTATTTTTTTTGCAAATAGCATGAATTGTTCATTGATAAATATAACTTTTGTTCAAACCATATGACACTTTAAAACTAAGCTAACCTTGTCTTGCCATAAAAAGACAAATCATTTGGTATTTTAAGAGACTAAAAACATCACATCAAAATGCTGTGTAGATTATTAAGGGTGAAACTTGATCTTAATTAGAATTTTCAAAAATGTTTTAAAATATATTTTGCATGGTAAAAAGTTATTTTGTTTCTTTTTTTTTTATTACACCAATATCATGAACTGTTAATTCATAAATATAATCAGTTTTGGGCGAGTCACACCACAAGACACTTCACAGCCTGAACTAAACTTGTCTAATCATAAAAATGTGTCTTACTGACCTTGACACACAGTCATGAGGGTCTGCGGGGTCCTCTCAATGATCTCTTTTTCTTTTTTTTTTTTTTTTGGTTGCACAACACGATTTCAATTTGGCTGGGCTTTTTTTCCAACTATTTATATATTATTAATATACAGATCATGTTTTATTACATTTTACAATCATGTTTTATTACATTTTTGACTCTCTCTCTCTCTCTCTCTCTCTCTATATATATATATATATATATATATATACACATACACACACACACACTATGTAATATATATATATATATATATCACTGTATGGATAAATTGCATTTTTATTGTATTTTATTAATAAATTCACAGACTCTGGGAGAAAGGGTCTCCACACAAATCACTACTGATTTGGTATCTGTCTGACAATATACTGTATTGGTAGTAAAGTAAAGCACTGATACCTATATGCTGGATTTTGTCACGGATCACCTCACATTCTATGGGCCAGCGGACGCCCTGGAATGGACAGGAGGTAGAAGGAATTGTGAAGAGGTCCAAAGGCTCCCTCAGGCGTGGAATGGGCCGCTCACCGTCAAAGTCAAACACAAGTTGCCGGGTTCTGAGCAATTTGTCTAAGCTGAAAAAATCTTGGAAGAAATGAAACACTGACATATTATTACAAAATCTAATTTATTACCCAACAGACAAGCTGTAGTTAAAAGACATGTGAGAAGCATTTGTTACCAGCAGCGATTATCAGAATTACCCTTGTAACGAAGACGTACAATTCATTGGTACAAGCTCCCTAAAACAATTATGTGTTCTTAGTGTCTGAATCTTTTATAAAGGCCATAAATTTAAAATGGGAACTAGCTGTTTAGACTCAAGTGTTACATATGTGACAACTTGAAAAAACTTGAGAGAAATGCAAAAATATCATTATTTAGGTGGCAAAGGTGGTGATTTGTTGAAAGATTCAGTATTGCATCTTAACATGGGATCAACTCTATTTTTGTCTCGTAAACTACAATATTTTAATTGACATATCATATCATGCTTCATTATGGAAGCCCATATCCACCACATAAGAAAAAAAACATGCTTTGATGAATCCTAATTATGACTTTAAAAAGTGAGAATTAGGAACTAAGAATTCAAAATTATGACATTATGAAATAACAAGTGATAATTATAAGACAAAAGCACAGAATTATGCCATTGTAAGTCATAATTATGAGGGGGGGAAAGTCCAAATTAACATACTAAGTTATGAGACAAAAATTCTGACAATTAAGTAAAAAATTTTATTTCTTAATTGTGACTTAATCATTGATTTTTAAAATTTGTTTATTATTGATTGACTTTATATTTTATAATGTCATAATTTTGACTTTTTATGTCATGATTATAATTTTTTAAATCATGATTTTTTAATTTACATATCAGAACATGTTTTATTATGGAAGCACATTTCCACCACATAAGAAAAAAACATGTTTTGGTAAATCATAATTATGGCATTAAAAAGTCATAATTATGAAATAAGAATTCTAAATTCTGACATTATGAAGTAAAAAGTCAAAAGTATGAGAAAAAAAAGTCATAATTATGACATGATAAGTCTAAGTTATGAGAAGTCACAATTAAATTGTTATATATTTTCATAATTATGTGATAAAAAAAAAAAACGAAATTATGAGATAAAAGATGACAAAAAAATTAAATTGACCAAAAAGTCATAATTATGAGATAAAAAGTTGAAATTATGACATCCTAAGTCATAATTATGAAAAAAAATATGACCTAAAAAGTCGAGTAACAGTCAAAATTCTGACATAAAAAGTCACAATTATTATATAAAAAGTCAAATCTATGACATACCAAGTAATAATTATGGGGGAAAAATTAAGACAATTAGGTTTATGCCTTAATTATAACTTAATTATTGTGTTTTAATGACTACTTATTTCATAATGTCATCATTTCATCTTTTTATGATTTAACAAAGCCTGGTTTTTTTCTCATGTGGCAAAATGGGTTTCCATATTTCACATCACTGTCAACTGACCCAAATCCAAGAGTTTTGCTTATTTAACTTACTGTGACATGGCTTGGGTTCCTCCTGCTCCTCTTCGAAGTTGGAGTCATTGCTCTCAGATGGTGAGTTGATCATGTCAGAAGCAGTCGAATCTTGGTTGCCCTCCCATTCTCTCTTGATGGGGACACCTGAATGCACAGAAGAGCTATTGTCTATGTACACAGAGACAAAATGTAAGTAAAATATGTAATGCTGTATTAGAAGACATACTAAATCCTTTAAACCAGTCAAACGATGTTAAACCCATCCAAAGGCTGACTCGAATAACTGACCCGAGAGAAATCCATAATGCTGAAGATGTCGCAAAATGAATTTCTCGTATGGATCATCTGATTTCTTTTATTCAACGGGATAGGAGAACAAAAAGTGAGTTTAAGTGCAAGCAAAGGGGCAGAAGGTTAACAGGCATTGAGTATCAGTGAGTTGGCATGTTAACCAACTTGGTAATATTAGACTGTAACCGTAGAGTGCAAAGCAGCAGTAAATTTTGTGCGATCACTCACCTGCATTCCCGAACCTCGAAGCGATGCGATGCGTTAATGCGTTACATTAACGCATCGAAAACAACGCTAAATAACTTTACAATTGACAAGCGCCTGACAAGATATCAAATAACACAACTGGTTAGTATAGAACCATCTTGATATAAAATCCCTGATGAAAATTAGTGTTTTGCAATAAAAACGGTCTTAGCAGACAGCTAAATAGTTTATACTTTTTAATGGAAATGTTCTCGTAACAATTATTGTTGAGGAGCCCCTGACGCCATTTGTGTCACTGTTGCCAAGGCCACGACGCACGTTTCCTGCTTGAAGCACGCTGCAATATGGTAATACATATACTATACTATACGTATACTATGTGTACTGTATACTATGGTAATAGTATGTAACAGAACCACTGATTTATATGACTCTCTTTTAGAAGAAAAATGGTTATGGAGCAAAATGTCTATTTGCTGCTCAGTGTTATTTTATAGACATTAATATAAATAGCATTTATTCCATATTACTATTTATTTAGAATTTCCCTTTATTTGTATATTTTTAATTTTTATTTATAGATTTAGTAATTTTTGGGGTGTCAGTTTTATTCATTTGTAATTAGATGCCTATTTAGCTTTTTATAATTTTTCATTTCAGTATCAGCTTATTTTCAGTTTGTTTTAGTAATTTAGTACTTAAACTAAACATTAGAAATGTTGCCTGAAATATTCACATATGAAGTATACGTTTGGATAAAAAAAAGAGGTTAAAAGAAAAGTTGCTTGAACAAAATATTTGTAGAATTTTTTTTATTTATTTACAATGTAGAAAAGGTTTGATGGCTCTACATGCCCAGTTCAGGGAACATTTACACTGAACAACGATTTTTCGATTTAAAAGACATTTAGTGAACAATGTTCATTAATATTATAGAAAAAAAAAAGAAGTTGGCACATGAGTTGACTTTATCACAACAACATCGGTGGGGAAAAAAGATATAGTTAGTTCACATATGAAGCATACTTTAAAGTGCAAAAGGACATGGAAGTCTCAACTATGATTTTGGAAGCATGGCTGAAACTCTTGTTAACAGTGGTCAGTTGGTCTGATCCAAGACTGATCTTTCTAGCACAGCTCACTGTACACCCTTGACATTGTACAAAACGTATGTTTTGTTTTTTCTGAGAAACTGGAACAGTCCTTTAATATTGATTTCATTACATTTTAATTTACAGATAAATCGTGCACAGGTTTCATGGTTGGAGTAATAAAACAAAAGGAGAACGAAATATTCTGTACATGTTTAACCTGGTTTCAGGTTCACTGCATCTTTAAAATAACTTTTGGACATAAGCAGTTTTATTTTTCAACAACCCATAACAAACTATACCTTTAGTCAAAAGATGATGCATTTGAATTTAACAGCACGGAGCTGACCTAAAATAGGCTCCGACAGGCAATGTGCGGTTATATTAAAAAAATAAACATTCATTCAAATTTGCCCAACTAAGTCCACTGAAGCTTAGCAAGTGGGACACAACACCAAAACACAGTTCAGTCCGCTCTTGTTTACTGTTTAAGACTGTTAAGAACTCTGCATCATCTTTTTTTTCTTTAACAGTCTTTCCCTCCAGTCATCAGGAAGTGTTTCAAAGTTAGCATTCTTCACAGACTTCCCTCTGCAAATGGAGACAAAAACGACAAGTATTTGAACAATCTGCATTTTTTCCCTCAAATTTATGCTGATAATCTTTGTAATGGCTTCTTTAAACTTACGATGCAAGCTGTTGTTGTTTCCATTCCTCAATGCGTCTGTTGTTGTGCTGTTCTCTATCTTCTTCGCTGGAGCTCGACTTCTCCTCTTCATCTAGCTCTTTCTGAATGCTCTGCCACTTCTTTACCAGGGACGGCATCTTTGTCTTGCTCTTCTTTGACTTTAAAAAATAAAATGCCAGCATTTAAATTATTTTCTTTCTAAATTAATGGGGACATTGGATGCGAAATTCACTTTTACATGTTTGCATATAAATGTGTCTTAGAAATGTGTTTGACACAACCACCCTACAATGATAAAAAAAAAACATTCACTCCATTTTTTAATGCCCAATAAACCTAAAGAGTCTAAATTATCAAGCCGTTTTGATTTTCAGAGTAGTATGAAGTCATATTGTTCAGGCCCCACCCACAACTGCTGACAGACTGTCCCATATGTTTCATTGGCAATGCAGGCGTCTTGTAGTTGGATGCAAAAGTGAACACAAGGCCGGTTTACACCGCAAGAATGAGCAGCGCTAATTTTTTTGTCGTGCTGCATGTCAACAAATGAGTGCATTCACACCGGGCGCAGGAGCAGCATGTGAGTGTCAAGCAGGAGCAGCACTGAAGCGATGGTTTCGGTGCAGAGGCGTTTAATAGTCTTAATTTACTCCCAACATGAGAGCCACTGAGGACACAGTGGATTGGTTTAGTTTTTGATGGTAACGCACCACCAATGGTGCAGTAGCTCATTATCATTTAAAGAGACACGCACCTTTCACAAGGTAAAAAGGGTGTTGTTTTACACTACCATTGAGGAATTTCAACCAAAGTACGCTGCAGGCATTTCATGAAGACCCTAAAGAATCAAACCAACTTGTGGAAAATGGGCATCTGATGTATCTAAAAATATAATATTTTATGGGAAAAAAAAGAAAGAAAAAAGAATAAAACAAATACAGCAATACAAAACTCAAGAACCCAAAAACAAAACAAAAACAGCAGAACAAAACACACCAAACACAAAAACAAAAACCCCAAAGCAAAAAAAAACAGCCAAACAAAAATGCAACAACAAAACCACAAGAACAAAATAAAACAAAAAACACCCACCTTCTCTTTCTTTTGTTTCTTTGTTTTATCTGTGAGGGCTTTGCTCATCGGTTCCAGGGTGCTGGGAGGTTGTGGAGCAGGAGGGGGTGGCTGGGGCGGCAGAGCTGGCATTGGTGGGACTATGCTCTCTGTAGGCAAAGGAGGTGCAACTGTAGTTGTCATCCCCCAGTAAGCACTTCCAACTAGAAGTGGGGCTGTGAATGAACGAGAGGAACATGAGGAACAACATCTTGCCACAAGACAGGATTTTCTATGAAAATACTGATGTGTGTAAAAGTAGTTTATTCTCACCAGCAGTAGCAATGGGTTGAGTGTAAAGAATGGGGCTGCTGCCGATGGTGACTGTTTTGGCCAGCGGGACTGAGCCTGGGGCCTTGCGTTTCTGGGCTTTAGCCGCAAGTCCCAAAGATGCTGCTTCCTCAGCCGCCTGAGAAAAAGACATCAAAAGATATCGTTTCACTATGCACTAAAGCATAATAAACTAAATAATCTTAACTCAAGACAAACAAAAGTGACCTTGAACTCTTCTGTTCCAGGAGCCGGACTGGCAGCAAGACACAGTACCCAGGGATGCAAACTAATCAAAGGTGACAAAGACGAGCACCCCCCCCCCCCCCTACATTTTTTAAACAATTATAATAATTTAAAGCCTTTATTTTCTAACTCTGCCAAAATTAAATTTAAATGTTCACTTTCAGAAGACAGGAAAAAAATGTTCTCCTGGTGGAAAACAAAGACTTGATGAAAATGAAAATGAAAATGACATGAAATTATCATTATATCCAGTAGATGGCAGCAGAGGATCACCCATTAGCTCAGTTGCCATTTCAACTCCCGTTTTTCTCATGTCTTGCTTTTGGATTTATTATAAAATGACAATGAAGTATAGCAAGTGCAGGAAGTCACAAAGTCTCATGTTAAATAAAAATAAATAAATAAAGCCCAGACACCAACAGCCTAGTAGGGTTAATTATTTAAATACTTATCTAGCTAACTACAAATTAAGTTAATTATTAATTGTATAATAATTAAACAATGCATTAAATATTTTGGCTTTTTTTTTTTTAGATTTAATTTAAAAACTACATTTTTCAAACTTTGCCTAAAAAAGGACACATCAAAAGGAGTTTTGTTACTCTGAATTTACTCTGCATCACTTAAAGCTAGGGATGTAACGATTAACCGCGAGCCGGTTGAAAATCGCATTTTAAATGAAAAGAGCACAGACAAAGCCTTATTTTGTTTATATGAAGAGTAATTTTTTTCACGTAATTTTTTTTACACTCGCATTTGTCATTCCTGAAACAGCATACGTGGACGGTTTGGTCCTCTTACACTTTTCTTCAAACTGTGCATGAAGTAAAAACTGAGCACGCGGAAACTTCTGATATAATCAATAACTAACTAAAGCACACGCACACAAAAACACACAGGAGAGTTTGAAAGCGGGTGACTTCGAGTGGGTACAGAATTGAGTTGGTACTACTGGAACTGTAAAAAGACCCCTCCCCCCAAACATTTTCTCATCGGATCTACACGAATCTCGCAGGTGACATATTTTGATCTCAAAAAGGTGAATTTTCACCTAAAGTGAACTTTAATGATCAATATATAATAAATATTAATATTTAATTTTTACTGTGTTTTTTTTTTTAAACAGTAAAGCACTATTTTAGTTTTCATTCAGTATTCATTTTAAAAAGTATCGGATGATTAATCGGTATTGACCAGTGTGGTCCTACCTAGCTATTGGTATCTGTAAAATCCACTGTCGTTCGACATCTAACAGGGTGTCTACAGATATGAACAAGTTAAATTTAAGACTTTTTAAGACCTTTTTAATACCACCTTATGTGAAATTTAAGACCAAGCAAATGCCGGGTGTGGCTTGGGGAATGTGCGCAATAATTCTGTTCTGATCTTTGTTTGGAACTATTTTCGTTGGTGAAATAGAACAAAATCAATTGTGTCTAAAAATGTAAGTAACTTCATATACTTTACTACTTGTTTGTTGAACTAAAATCAATGTAACATTTGCAATCGTGAAAATATTCAGCAAAATAGATCCCTTGTCATGGTATGTTACTTGACTATATCATGCTATAAATAAACTAAACATTTAGAATTTTTACCTCAGTATGTTTGTTCTGTGAGTTTCTTTATGTGTGCCGTACGCTCATTTGATTTGATTTCTCCATGAAAGTCTCTCACAGAGACAGGCAGCACGAGCCTCAACAGCGCGACATTGATAATAGAAATACACTATCAATTATCAATCGCTGTTTAAGCTGAATGTAATAAAATCAGAAGAATCATTTGTGCGTTTTGATGCGTGATTATATTTTGTCACTTAAGTTTTAATCAAGTTATTAGTCCTGTCGGGCAAGTACAATTCTCAAGCCATTTTTCAGTAAACTTGCATGAACCCATTTATAGTAGTTCGGAGGCTGGACAGCGAGCTGGTGTTCGACTGTATTCTGTAACCGCAATTCTCTCTGATGACGCGGTAACTACAGCGGAGAAAAAGTACTCT